TATTTAGGGTAAGAAGATTGTACTTTAACCACTTAGCAACTTTAGCCATACCAAGCTCGGTGTTCCTTTTTACAATACTCCAGGTAGGACCAGTGAAGACAATGACAGTATCATCGGCATAGGATACAATTTTGGCATTATTTAGATTCATGTTGCAGAGATCATTAATATAAATAAGAAATAAAGTAGGTCCTAAGACACTTCCTTGCGGGACTCCACATGACACGTTTACATCTCCGCTGTTATATTGCTCCAGTTTTACCCTTTGTTTTCTGTTATATAGGTAATCTTTGAATATAGAGAGTTGTAAACCTCTAACACCAATCTTTTCCAGTTTCTTCACAAGGACTGGTAGAGAGACAGTGTCAAAGGCTTTTTCAAGTCCATGAAAACAGAGAGACATTTTCTCCCTTTATCAAGGTTATCTGTTACTAATAAACATAAAGACCCCACAGCATCCTCAGTCGATATTCCCTGCCTAAAACCAAACTGGAAAGTGGATATTATATTGTACTTTTCTAAATAATTTTGAAGTCTAGAGTTTAAAAGTTTTTCTAATATTTTTGCTAACACTGATATAACCGAAATAGGCCTATAGTTACTAATTTCGTCTCTCCGTCCTCCCTTATATATAGGAGTAACTATAGATTGCTTTAATGCAGATGGGAAGATACCTGTTCTAAAACAGAGGTTTGCTAAATGAGATATGATTGGAGTGATTTCCTTATTAATAAATTTTAAATAACTAGTTGAGATATTGTCCCAGCCCGGAGCACTGTCTGACTTAAGATTAACAATGATACGATTTACTTCTTCAGGATCTGTGTCAATAATAACAAAGGATTGAGATTGGGTTGGTAGCTCGTTGAGAAATTTATCTAAATCGTTTTTTGTTATATCAGCCAGAACGTTCTCAGCCAGTTCTTTACCAATGTTAGCAAAATAATTGTTTATGTAATTAGCAGATTCGTTTTCTGTTGACTTTATCTGGATTAGTTCATGATTAATTCTGTTTGTTTTAGATGTGTAGGTTAATGATTTTATGTTTTTCCATAGCAGTTTATTATTTTTAACAGACTCCGATATTAAATTTCTTTCATATTTTCTTTTCAGTTTTTTAATGAGGTTATTACAATAATTTCTGTAACGCGTATATGTAATTTTTTAAATTAAATTATATGGGTCTTCTTTGGATTGTTTTTGTAGCCTATTACGGTTTCTAATGCATCTTAGTATGCCTGTGGTGATCCACGGCTTTATATTTCTTTTACTTTTAGGAATTTTTATAATGTTAGAATTTTCTTTAATTGATTCCATTAGTATTTTAATTAAATTGTTTGTCATATCATTAGGGTTATCTTTAAAAAGCAAGTCAGATAGATTTTTCTCTTGAATATATTTAAGAGCATTTTCAAAATTAACTTTTGTTCGGGTTTTGGATGTACATTGATGTGTTTTTACTTTGGATAGTGATAGAAAAGTTGTAAAGTGGTCAGTGGTGGTGGTTTTAAGAATAGCAATAAAAGCAGAAAACTTTTTATTTTTAATTTTTAACATAGTGTGATCTAGACAGTTCTGTCCACGTGTGGGTAAGGTATGTCCAGGTAAAATACCATAAGCAGATAACATATTTAAATAGTACGTTCTATTTTTTGTAATCGTATGTGTTTTCTGTGTCTTTATATTTGATATTAATATTTATGTCACCAGTAATTATAATATTGTTCTGTGATTTCAGGGTGTCTAGGTCAGTACATAGCGAGTTAATAAAGTTTTCCGCATTATTCGTAGATGGGGACCGATACAGGCATATAAGGGTATTATTTAGTACGTCCACCTGAATGCCCGTTGCCTCCATTAATTTAACCTCCACTACATTACATTTTAAATTTTCTTTTATATAAACAACGACACCGTCACTCTGATTTAATTGACATGAGGTGGTGTAAGAGTTGTAGTTGTTTAGTTTCGGGATAGGTTTGTTATTATTAAGGTGACATTCGGTTAAAACTATAACATCAGGTTCAAAATTAAGGGTTGATAAGTTTATCAAAAAATCATTGAAATTACAGTATATGCTTCTAATATTTTGAGAAATTATTGTAAAGTCTGTTTTGTTCGTTTCATAAAGTTTGGAGAGGTCTGTACAGTCACATGTAATGGCTTTGGCAATATCCAAACTATCTATATGGTTTTGAGATTCTAATAAATTAGACATTAATTTGTAATACTAGTATATAATACACAGTATGTCATATGATAGGTGGGGTTGTATTTATTATAATATGTATATATTTGGCCTAGTATAGCATTAATATGGCGTGTATACACTACAATATGTATATTTATGTAAAAATTCATTATAGTGAAACGTTGTAAAAATTTGTTATTTAATTGAGATTTTGTCTTGTATACAATTATTGTTGTATAATTATTTATTTTTAATACATATGTGTAAATAAGTTTATAGTTATTTTGTACAATATGAGTATTTTCGTGATTATCAATTGTTGTGATCAATTGTAGAAACTTATGAAATAGTTGTGATATTAATTTTTGGTTTTGTGTACAAATTGTTTTGTATGTTATTGTATATGTATAATGTATAATTGTAAGTGTGTATGTGTAAATAAGTTTAAATTTATTTTGTGTGCGTGTGGGACGCATAAGCGATATAAAATAATATAACAGAAGACATTCACCTACAATAATCGAATAAAAGAAATTATAAAAATGTTCTTGGTTACAAACATATTTGATATATAGTCATATGTTAGAAATTAGCTGTTCTATTTGCGATTCAGTCCTAATCGATATAACTGGCGAATTATCTTCCTTTCTTACATATACCTTTCCATAAGCCGTCCAGCAGAATTTATACGATTTCGACTTGACCAAATCACGAGCAAGGAAATATAGGCGTGCTGCCTTAGCGGTCAGATGTTCTGTTACGAAGACAGGAGTGTCCTCGGATGTTCGGAAGCCAAGGTTCTTGGCACACAGCTTCGTTTTGTGTTTGATATTATGTGCCTTACAGGACTTTAGAATTTCATTCTTCAGTAATGTAGAAGATGTTTCGACTACGATTGGAGTATTTTTGTCGGTTTCCTTCTTTGGCCGAACTCTGTATACATCTCTGATTGCGGATTTTTCTATTTGACAGCCAACCGTGTTAGACAAATAAGTAACCATACTTATCAAGTCTTCTTTTGTTTCATTTTGTTTTTTAGGTACATTTTTAATTTCAAAATTTGCTTTCCTACTATCCTGATGCATATTTTCTAACTTATCCTCCAGAATCGTTATATATTTTCTATCCTCTTTCATCTTATATTCTAATAACTCGATATTATTCCTGTATTCTTCATTCTGTGCAGATAAGAAGGTGACTGATTGTTCGATATTTGCACTTGAGAACTGTATCTATTTTAAAACAGCGGCATTTTTCTTAAATTCCTTCTCTTGTGAAGTCATTATTTTTGTTAACATTGATTGCATCTCTTCCCTAAGTTTTGAAATTTCACTTCCATAGTCATCATCTCTCTTTCTTTTAGAACGACTTGTGACAAAGTTTGGTGGCGTAAAATTAGCCTGCCCAACTCTGTGCATTTCTGTATCTGATAGTGATTTATCCAAATTACTATCCATTTGTAAAGCTACGTTAATATACGTTACAAACTTTCAACAAAGGTATAAGTCTGTTTATTATATTGTGATCTATGTAATAAATACTGTGATGGTACTTAGTATGTATGACTCATGGACACCCGTTTACGCTCTGTACTCCTGGTACTCACTTGTAGTCAAACCAAACAGCGAAGTTTATGAATCACTCAATAGTAATAATAGTAAACAGCATTAGTCCCACTTCTATTTCAAAGGGGTGGAGCTTCACAATTATAACACTTGAATTCCAACATGCATTCAATACTCGCCTAGGATGACACACTGGGTGCAAAGTTCAGTGGGCGGAGCATTTAAGTTGAAAAGAGAGTAATTATTGTTGCAATTTATGCATGCGCGTGAAGGTGATACACAAAGTTGACATACCAGTAGGAGGAGCCAACTGATTATTCGCACCAGGACTGTGTGAGTGCCACGGCAATCTTTGCTGTACTTGTCCGACACCTCTTGCTGCTTATGCGATCCTATTTTTATGTTTGATTATTTTCACTGAATTTTGTTGATATTTATTTAATTTCAACGTAATATGGTAAGTGGGCGCGTGTACACCGTTTGGTGGTCCGGGGGGAAGAGGATATTACTTATACATTTACAAAAAAGTATCTACGTATATCTATCAGTTGTCTAGTACCCATAACACAAGCTTGGTACTAGATGGCGCTGTGTGAATTATTCAGGGACATTACTATTATTATTAATATTTATTTTCGTAGGTATACTTATTATTGTGCGTATTAATTATAATTTTTAATCCTAAAATTCTTCAATAGATAATAAAAACAATGAACTACTTAATCAAAAAATAATAATTAAACGACGTCACACTACGCTACGCACAAGCGACGTTTTTATCGGACTATTCTAATATTGTTGGCAGCATCTGGCTTTTACAGCTTCTCTGGACGATATATAGGGTGCGAGTGCAAATGGCACATGACACCGCGCGACAGGACTTATGAAGCGGCTGAAGACCAACTCCCGCCTGACTGATACGTATGACTTTAGTCTGAGGACACGCTAGGCGTTCCAACCTCGGCTCATGCCGTGGTAATTTCGATCCCCGTTTAAATTGGACGGGGGATCGATCGGAGGGGATTCAAGCGACAGACGCGAGAGTATGGTGCATGTGTTAGCTGCCAAAAACTGGTTTATTCCGGTATTAGTGACTACCGTGATATTACGATATACAAACGCAAAAACATCAGAAAGCTCATTTGCCTGAACTGTCTATATAGCAGCACACCAACCATTGAGCACGCACTGACACAACGTACCGGGCATAACATACATATAAAATATTATTTATTATATTTTAGATTATTTTAATGGATATTCATGGAAAAGTGTAAATCTGGATGAACTGTCGATCAAATTACCTGAAGACGACCTGCTTTATTTACATAATTATAAAGACAAATTTACTTGTTTCGGTTTGGCGTATACCATTTTGAATAAATGTGAAATCTCTGTAAATGCAATACCAGAAGCTATACTCGGTAAAAATGCTAGAAATGTAAGGCCAACATTTTTTGTATGTATTTTTAATCTTCTTCTTTCAAATTGTAAATACGAATTTTAAATGTTTTAGGTAGACAAAGTTATTGCAGCCGTGAAGAGTCTTGTTTTAGAAGAAATAAACGTTATAAAATGTCAGAGCGGTTGCATTTCAATGTATCCAAAATCAATTATGGATTTGGTTTGCAGTGAGGTAAATTGATTACTACAAAATGCATATACTTTTTGAGTTGTATGATATTTATTTCTTATAATTAAAATAATAGTATTATCTACTATAGTCATATATTTATTTCATATTTTAGTTTGTTTCTGTGGTAAATATAATATAATCACGCTCTATTACTAAATTTCTCTGTCAGGTTTTCTAAATGTTTCCCGCGTTTTCTCTTCAACGTAATTCCTATATTAAATATTAAATTCTGTTATAGTTAATAAAACAATGGCAGTTAATTTCAAATCTTCAATACCCACTCGCAATGCTCTGCCCAATAGCATCAAAACAAAGTTTTAATATTTCCTGTAGAAAAGCCAAATGTTGCCAGTTCTTTAGAATAATTTGATTATAAATCTATACAAATATTGTAAGTTTATAAGTTATTTACTAACTTAATATGGATGAATACACGAAATAAATTAATAAAGAGGAGATATTTCTTGTTTGTATATTTGTTAACAAACAAAATACTTGATCTATTTTTAAAATGTTAAAACAGTGAAATCTATATTATCGGCAAGGAACTTTGCTCACAGAATTATCAGAATGACGCTCGAGATAAATAAAATATATTTAAATTCTATTTTAGTAACTCAATGTGAAAACCCAATTAGTCATTGCTTTTAAAACTATGGTATTACAAATACAATAAATCCTTATGAATAGGGTCGTATAATTAATGAGTAATATATTATCGTCACATTATCATTGTTCTCATAGGCCTGCAGATACGCAGTAAAATTTGGTGACAAACTTTCCAAGAATGACTGCACTGAATTATTGTTATCCTTATCTAAATGCAAAACGCCGTTCCAATGTGCACATGGTAGACCCGTTATAGCCGTGCTGACGAATTTTGAATATACTAAAAATGAATACAAGGTAAATATTGTATTTCTCAATTTATTACATATTTTTAGTTATGTACTGTATTTATTTAATTTCATTTCATTGTACTATTAAAATCTCTAATTCCAGTGCACAGCATTCATCAAAAAGCATAAAGAATATGTTATATATTATAAAGTTCCACACACAATAAAAACAAATATTTCTTGAATTTGAATTATTATCATTTTGATAATTATATATTTTTGTTCGTTTTTTTAATAAAGTTCCTGTTCAGGCAAGCTAGCATTAATTTATTCCTGTTTTCCCAGTAGTCAACCATCGTTATTAGCAGATATATACCGATTCTAATCATAGCTGCACAAAAATAGCAATTAAACACAATATGCCATAACTCGTATATTGTGTTCTAGAAAAGAACGCAATCAACCTACCATTTATCTCGTACCTAGTTGGCGGTCAACGTGTTATAGAACTACTAAACCTATCAACAATGATTTAATTCCAAATAGAAGTGGTCCTTGCCACTAAAATATCCATCCTAGTATAAATAAAAACTATAATCTATTACAACTTTTAATAAACTAATATATTCTGTATTACTGTGTAACCTACTATTATGTCTTTGATTTCAGATAAATATTACAAAACTAACAGCTTTTAAGCGTAATGTGGTAAAAGGTTTTAAGTGACTCAGCAGAATACGTATCGTTACATAAATAGTTACCTTGTTATTTCTAGAAATAGATTCTATATTATTAAATAAATATGAAATTTAATATTGTGTTATTCTACAATTTTTCTAAACTTACAATTAGATATGTACTAAAATACGAGAAAACATGTTTAGAATTTAGAACTATAGTTACTGTATTTATTGTATATTACAATGTAGACTTAATAATGCGAGATTATACAAGTTAATCAATCGAGTAACGGGAACCATTAAAATTATGTTAAAGACGAAAAATGAAATGTACAAATTTCGGTTTGCAGAGCTGTCCTGCTACTCTGCATCAAATATCAATCCAATGACATTGTACAGTTACGCACCCTACCTTAAACATTAGCAACATATTAATTTCATATTTCGTGCTGAGTAAGAAAAACTTACTGACATTGTTATTAATTTATTCAGTTTAGTCTCGATTACATTTAAAAAACAGTAGGTACAAAATACTAGAACTGATATCAATATTGAAATTATACTCCACAGTAGATATATCTACTCGTTCGTGTAATTTCTTGTTGTTAGGAACGTAATTTAGAAAACATTGTATTTATCAATTTGTTCAAGGAGATCCCCATTCCCTTCCCAGGAAGTGCCGAAGTCGATTATAAGGCATTCAGATGGTATAATTACGCCTATGTTTGCATAGCTTAGTAACTAGATGAAATCTTTAATAACTTCTTCTTTTATCCATTCTGTAAAGTGTGATATCCTGGTGTGAACGTCAGGAAATCCAACTGCACAAGGAATACCCCATGAAACTAAACCCACCAGTTTATTATCCTTGATAATAGGGCCACCGGAATCACCCTGTAAATATATAATTATACTTATATTTATAAAAATATAACACTCTAATCGTGCTTATTTGAGAAATGCTTTCACTGTTTGAAAGACACATTATTCCAGGCTAATTTGGTTAAAAACGGTCCACTAGTACTTGATATTTTGATTATGGATCGTATCCATTTTCATGTCGATTAGAAGGCGCACACAACTATAGATAAAAGAAGAGAAATAAAACTTACACCCATACGATGTGAACTCTGTACGTTATGGGATGATGTACTTAAACAGCCATATAAAACAAACATGGTACTAATTTTTGTGGATGCATTTATAGTTATCATAAATACGTTTATACTTACCTACCTGTATCCGTTAATGTCAATTATGATCATTAGATGAAGTATCGACTCTAAAAATCTTATTATACCTACATTAGTGCGTTTTTATTCATAAAGCTAAAGAAGTTTTTTGTTTATTTGGTTGAATGCGCTAATCTCCGTAACTAACTACTTGTTTGAAAAAAATATTAGGTGTATCGCTCATTTATCGAAGAAGGTCTTAGGCTATAAATATTTATATACAACATCACACTACAAAGTGAGGAAAATCCGATGCACATGTGTGATACGAAGTTGCGGGGGTTAGATAGTGCGACACTAAATTCACCAGTATAACCCGCACCTGCTACAGCACGCGGAGTATAAGCTCTAAAATTATATTAAGTAGGTACCTACCTAATGGTTCAATTTTATTTTAAATTCTGTTCCAACTTACATGACAAGTTCCTTGGCCAATTTGTGTAAAAGTGCAGAACATGCTGTCAACAACTTCCTTCGAATAGCGCATTGCGAATCGACATGTTTCTTGACTAAATACAGGTAAATTAATGGCATACATCTGACGACTTGATTCTCCATTAGGCTGAAAGTATAGACTGGTTTAATGTTTCCATATTTTTGGAGTTTCTTGCATGCACTAAAAGAGCGCCGTCACTTAGCGGTTTACTAGCCTGATATAAATAGTGTGTAATATTTCTTACTGACTCAACGATGATGGAAACACGCATAATAATCTAAATTAATTCGAGATACTCCGGCGACTCGGCCCCTGCCATGTCATATATCCATACACGGAGAAATGTGGGTAAATTACGTTGCCATTAGCATATCGATGGCTGACAGGGTTACGGACTACCCTATACAATAATACTATAGCGGTTACCGACGCTAAAAATATTTTTTATGAAATTGGTAAAGTGTAGATAATGCCAGAAAATGCAACTGATTGTTTATAATACCAACCTCTTGAGCTCCAAATCCTGTTATAATTACCGGATCTCCCTCCAATAGTTCGTTATAACCCATTTCAATTATGGTAATGTGTTGTAAATCAAAATAACCACTTATTTTTATGATAGCAATATCGTTAATTCTCGTACTAGAATTATACTGCTGATGTATGTTTAGTACCTCAGCATCGTACTGTAATCCTCCATTGTCTAAATCGTTCGTACCGACGACAATTTTTACGTATTGAGGTTCTGTACTGTAAAGAAATATAATGAAACAAGTTATTGATTTACTTTAATAAAATTACCTAAAAAATTGTAACGGAAGGTCAAATATTAAAATAAAATATGTTAGCTTTTTCCCGCGCCAAACGCAACGCGCCACAGAGTCAAAAATATTTGGTTATAAACAATCAGACTTATATTTGGTATAAAGAAGTCGCAACAATGATAACGACAATAGAGACACAGTTGATCGGTGATTTAGATAAATTAACTGTTGAAATTCTATGATAAATTAAAGTTTAAGTATCATGTACTAACTTCCGCTGTATTTCATATGAGATACAACTTGAAATGGGGGGAGGGGGTTGTTAGTAATGGGGATTAATATGTCGTCATGCGGCCTCCATGCGGTTCCTTCTTAAAGCCATTGTAATAAAGTAATTTAAGCCACCATGGGCTAATTATCCTAATCTCATGCTCATATTATTATAATGCTACATTGGTGGCACAGGCGGGTGTCCCATTCCGTTATCATCAATAAGATACAACTTGATATTTTATTAAATTATGTATTAATTTTGTAACCATTGAAATCTTGGTATTGCCTAGATTACTATAGAGATAGAGTAACAGTAAATGTAACATATGTTGATATCTACTTACCCTGCAACACAATGAGCAACTGTGACGACATGTGATTTCGTAACAACTGCACTACCACACACATGTTGACCACTCAAATTCTGAAGTGAAGCGTGGAACCTTCCGAATTCTGAAGGTGCGTCATAACCTCCTATTACTCGATTTAGATTACCTGAAACTGAATTATTAAAAAAATTAAAATGTACCACACTGTTAAATTAATTTTAATGCATGATCATATAATTAATTACCAGAGGTAAACAAGTCGACTTAATTAGTGATCTATCTTACGTAACTTTTTTTATGGATGATAATGGAATGGTGTACCCGCCTGCGCTTACGATTTACTCTGGCAGGGCACCAGTGGAGGATGATAAAATGAGCCTGACGTCAAGTCAATTAGTCCATCTTAACAAATGGCAATTAGCACTATGATTTACACGGGGACCGCGTGGATGTCAACCTGCAAGGTACATTGCTAACAAGGGGGTTATTAGTCCACATTACTTACGATCCCCTTCCCCCCCGCCTCGCCTATTTCAGCCCCCAAGCAGTTGATTTGTAAGCTCTTTGGGTTGGTGGTTGGTGGGTGAGAAATGACAATAAAATTATGGCATAGGTACATAAGCCTAACATCTTAGAATGGCAAACTTTTAACCTAAAATGGTACCCATGCCATGGACGTCACAAAATGACGAGATGGCAGTGATGCTGTTAATCCATAGACGACGGTAGCCAATTAAATTAGGTGGGCCGTTAGTTTGTTTCTGATTTAAGGTACATTCAAAATGTAGGTAACGCTGCACCTCCTTATGTTAATCAGGACAGACAATGAATTAACCACAATAACTTCCTGTGGGAGGTGATAAATGTAGCACATTGTATCAAAAGGTATCCTACATAGCTAAACCATTCTAGTAATATTTGATAATATTAATCCATTTACATATCTTCACAGAGGTAGATTAACGTTAATATACTATTAAGATCCTAATCGTATATTAATTAATCTTAATCAACATAAATGAGAGGCTGATTATAAGTCATTTTAAAGTAATCTAGGTTCTATCAACTTTAGAGACAAATGAAAAAAAAATATTCGGAGGGAAGCTTTAATATAGTTATAAATATAGTGTAAAACTATTAATATAAGTCAGTGTGTACACTTAGATGTAGTCATGATAATTCTGTTCCATAATTATGAAAAGATTGCACATTATAAAATTATTGCACATCTTATTACAGAAATACAGAATAATAAGCATTAAAAAGATGTCTTCGAAATTTAAATTAGTCTTGACAAATCAATTATGATAAACGTACCTACATACCTTTATGTTGATTTATAAGAAGTCCGATGAACATTAATGTATTAGATATTCTGCTATACATTTTAATAATTTATTTTTTTCTCTCATTTATAATTTTATTATTGTAATGATCAGTCCAACGAAGTGATTTTGAATGTAAAATGTAAATTATTTACGCGGTAAGCAAAATTATCTACCTTCTTTGTCATATCAATTAATAGTAGTGATTAATTGAGTTAATCAGGCTGTTATCGTCAGTATTGTAATTTATTACCTTTTGTCATTAAATAATTATGAAATAAGTAGATATTTTGGTAAGCATTGTCTACAAGCAAAATATTGGTGTGCAAGTGTCTTGTGTCTTTCTTTCTAAATTACGCAGAACACTGTAGCTACTTTGTTTTTTATAAAAATTACTAATTTTTATTTATAGATGTTGGATCTTTAAAAGAAAAAAGAACAGTTTTTAGCACACATTTTTGTGTGTGAGCTGTGCCCTCCTATATGATATATAGGTACCTATATGCTAGCAGGGCACCACTAGATGGTTCTAATGAACTGAAGCAATTCTTATCCACATTTTAAGTGTGATCAGTTCATATTAATTATGTGACGGCAGAAGAAGGAGATATCAGGTCAGAATGGACTATGAAAATTGAGAAACAGGGACGGGAGTTTTTATAATTAGTTTAGATTATTTGCGGGCCATGTTGCTGTCTAGGTATATTCCCTGTTCAGTCGATACCGTAGAATTTAGTCTGGAAACCATCGTAGTCTGTAAAAATATAAATATCCATCTTAATTCACAGGTGCTTGTCTGGGTATATACGCATAGTATTGGTATCATTCGTAGAAAAACTAGATCTAAAACTTGTACCGTATGCGCATTCGTATTTATGTAACTAGGTATTTAAAAAAAGCTGTGAATAGTTACATAATCATGAACATCAAAGTGCCTGCCGAAACAATAAAACAATTACGCGATAAGTGATGAAAATATTCTTAACAAGTAGGTAGGTACCTGCCTATATCCCAAGTCCACCCATCAGATACGTAGACTTTAGAAAGACTGTCTAGGACGGAGGATAGTAAAATCTAGTCATTACCCTGAGATCTACAACGCATTTAATAATAATACACATAATCATTAATTTAGTCACTGTACTGTGCCGATATCATGTGACGCTTATGAATACCACTCATACTTATTCTGTACTTACACTGCCTAATCTCACCTTAACACACCAATAGCTTGACGACTAAAATATATGAGACTAAGGTACCCACACACACCACTTTTTAGAACGCTTTTATTAGATAAAAAATCAAAGGCCAATCTTCATTATTTTGGTCATTTTTTGGTTAATAAAATGCTCATAGCTTCTAATGTTTGTGTGGAATTTATTTTAAATAATTAATAGATAATTTTGTAAAAAAAATCGGGTATATATAATATGTTTATATATATAGCAACACTGGATACAACTTTTTTTATTTCTGTTTATCCTTTAAAGCAAAGGGATTCAACTTGAAATTTTAATGACATTGATTGACTTCACTTGAAATTTTCAACTGATCTCAATCAACGTCATTCTATTAATCATTCGTAATACTTGTATTTGTCTCGTATGTGATTTTAATTAATTTGTTGTCCTGTTTTCTTACATTTATTTCATTTTTATTTATTTCTTATTACAAATTTAACGACATATTTTACTCAACGATAGAAAAATAATTAAATAACTTTATTGTCTTAATAGCAATGGATATTTTAAAGGCTGAAATAGCTAGAAAGAGAAAATTACTTGAAGAAAAAAATATTCTTGTAAGTATGTCATAACAAACATATCTATTCAATAAAACAACAATGAATTTTACACTTTTTATTACTAACTAACTATGTTATACTAATGAGATTCAATAATCATTATCGTGATTTCTGTATAGGACCCAAACAAAAGCAAAAAATATTTCAAAAGGGGTGATTTATTAGCGAAAGAACAAGAGGAATACTTTAGAAAGTATGGACCAAGTAAAACTGAGGATATGAAGAGTAATATTGTTGTGGAGCAATCTGAAACAGGTATCAAGTAATTATTCTTAATATCAACATTTATAATTGTTAACCCTAATTTCATACTTGAACATATTACAGCCAAGATTCTTAAATGTAATATAAAAAGTTAAAATACATTCACAGAATACTTAATTTTAATAGTGTTTACTTTTATTGAACAAATGATTTGACTCACTGCCTACTGACTGTAGTAAGTTGCATTACTTGATTACTCTTAATTTCACCAATAAATTACATAGAAAATATAATGTTCATAGTGTAGTAGAGTTTTCTGCCGGTTCATCTCAATGGAAACATATCCATAGCCCATCATGGTAAATTCACCATGTATTTATCACTAAGGTTTCTAGGGGGAACTGCATGAAGGTCAACCTGACATGGTACATTACAACCAATGGGGTTATTAGTCCACATTACTAACAATCCCCTTCTACTACTATCATAGTATTAAAAATATAAAAATGTCTGTTTATAAAATTAGTGACTTATTAAATTATAGGCACTAAACAAGATAAATCAGAAACAGAACAAACAGAAATTGTGTTATTACCAAGATCTGAAGTGATTAAGAGGTTGAGAGAAAGAGGACACCCTATATTGTTATATGGAGAAAATGAAGTACAGTCATTTAGGAGATTAAGGAGGATAGAAATTCAGGAGCCTGAAGCAAACAGGGTAAGTTGGTCACCATTTTTTATATAGTTCTACTACTTTAATTTAACTTATGAATAGATACCAATTAATAATATGTAATACTAATAATTGCCTCATTTCTGCTACACATATACTGATATCACTCATTATAAAATATTCCTGAATAATCTGTGTGTCTGCTGTGTCGGAAATGTCTTTACATAGTCGAAACCTAGTAAAAGGTGATGTTTTTTTTAAAATCTAACTCCAAACTTTAGAACTGAAACCACACTATGGGCCTTTTCAAAGATTTTGCTACGAGCTCTGCCATAGCTTAATGTGACACCATGTTTATGCCATAAGAAGGAGTCCTCATGCTTATTTACTTGTATATATATCATGGATTGAATACAAAATAGTGAGTTAATAAACACACTGTAGATTCCATTGCTACCAAAGTAACTAACTATGTAAGTCAACTCCAATTTCTTTTATTCATCCTGGTGAATTTCTGTTGACTTACAGACACTCAATTAGTGCTGTTGGTGGTTAGTCACTCCATCATCATGAATTAAGATATTAATACCTTTCCATCAGTATGAATTTATTGTCTTTTATTTTCAGGGCTTTAGAAATGACTTCCAGGAGGCTATGGATAAAGTAGATCAAGCCTATTTAAATGAAATATTAGCACTTGGAACACAGGTAATTTTTGTTCATTCTGCAACAATTATAATTAATTCAAATAAGTCTAGATTATTCATATATGTTGACTGAAATATGAAGCAGTTTTTGTCAGGAACACCTAAAGTAAAAATAATATATTAATGTAAGACATTTCAGTTACTTAAAATTGTAGTTGCATCAAGTTTGTTGTATTAATATTTTAGTCCCTCCTATGCAGTTCAGTCTTTTGAAACCATTGAGTAGAATTAGCAAGAAACTCAACTGAATTACTGTTTTTTTAAAGCCATTTTAGTAAAATTATTTATTGTGAATTTTTAAATAATACATTTTTGTGTGTATATAAGTACTTTAATGCTAAATAGTAGAAGTAAAAATATAAAATTTCTGGAACTGATTGAAATATATACACAAAATATACTCATGTACTTAATTTTATCTTTAAATTATTCTATATAATTATCTTCATTGTAATGAATATTGTAATGTCAATATTTAAGATATAATTTTATAAGAGTAATTAATTTAGGTATGATCAAATAAATTTTTCAGAGTGATACAGAGAAGTCTTTAAAGGAAGATGCATTAGATGACTGCATTACATATGAATTCATTCAAGAAATGGCCAAAACCATGGGACAAGGCGACAGAAATCATGATATGAATGTAATAATGACTCTTTTACAGGTACTTAATGTGTGAATATTTAGTATGGAATTGATTTTAAGTCAGTTATCTAGTTATATAAAATTATAAATTATATCATCATTCAAGACCTGAGATGTACATGACATAAGAAGTTTATTGAAATAATATTTAAAAAATCCTGCTAAACATTAATTAATAAGATTTATTTTAAAAATATAAAAAGATGTCAAGTTTGGCTATTACTTTTTTATCAGTCCATTATTAGATAAGAGAGTTACTTAATAATGGTTTATCTTTACAGTTCCTTCTCAAGTTATGGGGTCAACAACTAAATTCTGCTACTGGTGCAGAAAAAACAGCAATAAAGCATAAAATGACTAGAGCAACATTCACACAAACACAAGTATATCTCAAACCATTAATGAGAAAATTGAAGAAGAAAAATTTACCAGAGGATATTTGTGACAGTCTAATGGAAATTACGAAACATTTATTAGAAAGAAATTATATTATGGTAATTTTGAAAATATAAATTCTAATAATACTACAATTATTAACACCCATATGTATAATATTTGTACATGTTTACATATTGCATATTTTAATTTACAGGCAAGTGACGCATATTTACAGATGGCAATAGGTAATGCGCCATGGCCTATTGGTGTCACTATGGTGGGTATTCATGCCCGAACTGGACGAGAAAAGATTTTTTCCAAAAATGTGGCCCATGTTATGAATGACGAAACCCAAAGGAAATACATTCAAGCACTAAAGAGACTGATGACTAAATGCCAAGAATATTTTCCAACCGATCCATCTAGATGTGTGGAGTATAGTACGACAGGATAACAATATATTAATTCAATATCTGATTTGATTTTTATTTCACCTTGATTACCTCTTATACCGCAAGAACATTAGGGTACCGATTTTAACAAAAAATAATTCACCTACGTACAACGTCGATCGTCCGGTGAAGCTGTAAAGGCCAGCTGCGGCCAACAACATTAGAGTAGTCCAAAAATAAAAAGAAAAAAACGTACAACGTCTTTGTATATCAAAGTAAAGAAATTCATCATTTATCGTTTTGTCACCTTAACCCTTCATTGGTGACCTACATGACCTATATCATTACCGAAAACGATAGTAAGCCTCAAGATTATTCTACAAATCTTCTGATATGTTAACTAAACTGAATATTATGGTTTATTTTCTTGTAGATAATTAGTACGTACGTTGTTGATTATGCAAGAGTTTAGTAGCATTAGAAATTTCCAAACCGTCGAGTATTTTGAAAAGACATAGTGAAAATTGGATTTTAAACTGTAAACCACTAACATCAATGTCATAATTGTCAAATCGCCGATATGTCAAGTCAAGTTTATCCATTGTTTGTTTATGTTTGTTTGATACATTTTCTAACTATAACAATTATGAATATATAATTATTTAGCTTACATATTATTTAAACGAAAAGAAATGATTTTTGATTATTTGAATAAGTTTCATTTCGATGATTGCGTAAATATTTTATCAGAAAAAGATACCTTAGGTTATTATAGTATTAAGATCGAGTACGTACACTGATAACTTTAGTTTCGTATCTTTTGAATCCTGTTTTTTTATTTTTGTATATACTTATATTATTTTAGTTTTCTAAAACTCTTCGAAACTTATCCCGATGTCGGTGATAAGGTATTATGCAGTCCAATAGAGAGTTTATCAGCTTGTAGACAAGACATAATTAAGGCACAACAGAACGTACTTGACGGCGAAGAATGTAAAACGATAATCGCTAAATTAAATCACAGTTCTTTAAAAAGAAATGTACACGCTAGATTTTTTGGGTTACCTGTTTGTCCCGAGCTACACAGGACATTCTTCCCCAAAAGTGTGGACTTGGGATGTTTTCTAAAAGTGACTGGTAAGGGCCTAATATTTTTGTGTTATAATTATTCAATTGACATAATTGTGTATAAGTTGTCTCCTTAAAATTAAAGTGGCGCAAACTTCATATGATATAATTGTGTATTATTAACAACACATTAGAAGGGTTTTTTAAATTTGCATACACTTAAAATTTTTATTATGGTCTCCATTGACTACATTTAAACTATGATCTTCAAGTTTTCATTTCTTCCTGACAGAATTAATTGTTTAATATCTTTCCATGATGGTTAATGAACTTTATTGTGCTTTCAGGAACAGTGGTGAGGGTAACTCAATCTAAAATGCTCGAATATCAAAGGAAATATATTTGCATGAAGTGCAAATTTGAAAATAATGTGGCAGCTGAGTTTGAGTATAGATACATATTAAAATCTCCATTAAAATGTGGCAATTCAGACTCAGGATGCAAATGTGCTACATTTACACAAGTTCATTTAGTGTCAAGAGAGCATTGTAAGGATTATCAGGAAATTAAAATACAGGTTGGAATTTGTTGTATTTAAAGTCTTTTACCATTAATTACTTAGTTTTGAAAATACTATTGTACTTTTTTCATATAGTGGTGTTAAGTTTTTCTTGTGGAATTGGAATTAAAAACAATGGAATTTTCAATTGTCAATTGCTACAGGTTGAGTAACAGTATTTATACAATATTACAATATTTGTAATATAAACAAATTTATCAAATCTTCAATTATTTACACAGTAATTTATTTAATTTTAGGAACAAGTTAATAAGCTTAATGTAGGAACAATTCCTGGTTCTATGTGGGTTGTTTTAGAAGATGACCTTGTTGATTGTTGTAAACCAGGCGATGATGTTAATATATGGTAAGAAATTTATAATTACGAAATTTTATTCATTTTTAAAATTATAATAATAGATGTTTTAACTTTGGTATAGATATTTACAAATATTTATAAAAAATAACCCTGAGCCATCCACAGCTACACTGACTTACATTACAATTGAAAATATTTCACATCTATAGGATATTCCACAACTGAACTCTTCAGTTGTGGAATAGCTATGTATATGTAGTTTAAGTCATATAGACTACACAGACATAGCTCCATTACTTGAAGTTGTACATATTTATCACTTTGAATCTTTCTTCTTCTTCTACAAATTATTAGTTGTTTACATTATGTTATATACTGTTATAAGTTTGACACAGTCATTATTTATATGTATAATTAGTAAATCATGGACCATACCACATTTTATTTTTGTTGAGTTTTTACATTACATTATATTGATTATTGTGGCTGAAATGATGTTAGATTTATTTACAGTGGTATAGTTCGACGCCGATGGAGACCAACAGTCCAAACAAAGAAAGCTGAAGTGGAATTGGTTCTCCAAGCTAACTTTATTGAAGTATGTAACTCACGGAGATCTGAGGTGGTTGCTACTGCGCCTGATATTAAGGAGTGCTTCAATGAGTTTTGGTCTAAGTATGAAGCATGCCCTTTAAAAGGTCGCGATCAAATTTTAGCATCAGTGTGTCCACAGGTACTATTTTTTATTATTTACAAAATATAGAATATAAAAAAAAATTCATTTTTTCATCTAAGGCCGCTATTCTTATATAATATTAGGAATACTCTATATACTGCTATGCAAGATTGTGGTTTTGGGTTGTCAATAAAACAAAGATGCCTATGTCATATGTGGTATTAAGATGTACATAAGTACATATAAAAGTTAAACTGTTTTGAATTGTATTTTAGACTTTCTTTAAACACTTTAAAAGAAGAGGAAATCAGTACAGTTATAGTCTTTAAAAACATGTTTCTGCAAATGTTAACTTATTTAGATATTTTGTTCTCACTTCTATTCTGAGTTAAATCCCATACTGGTTACTACTTTGTAGTTTTATTGTATTCATAATTAAATTTTAGTATTGCCTTTATTTCAGGTGTATGGACTACATTTGGTTAAACTTGCAGTACTGCTCACAGTGATCACTGGCTCAAATCATGTTATTGAGTGTGCAGAAGAGAAGAAAATATCACAAGATGAGAAACACAGTACAAGAGTTCGGGGACAATGTCATTTGTTATTAGTTGGGGATCCAGGTAATTAAATAATAATAATAATAATCTCAGGACAATTCACACAGCACCATCTAGACCCAAGTTAAGCTAGCTAAAGCTTGTGTTATGGGTACTAGATAACTGATACAAATACATAGATATTTTTTTTCGTAAATACATACTTAATATACATAGAAAACACCCAGACCGACACAAACAATCATACTCATGAATACAAATGTTTGTGCCGTGCGAGGAATCGAACCCGCGACCATCGGACGTAAAGCGGTGTGTTAGACCGCTAGACCACCGAGGTCGTCAATAAATTAGAACTGTGCTGACAACCAATTATGCTAGGATATAATAAAACTTTCATCAATTTACAATCCTTACTAATATTATAAATGCGAAAGTAACTCTGTCTGTCTGTCTGTCTGTCTGTCTGTCTGTCTCGCTTTGACGCCAAAACTACTGAACCGATTTAAATGGAATTTAGTACGCAGATAGTCTAGACGCCGAGGAAGGACATAGGCTACTTTTTAATGCGTAAAAAGGGTTGTAAAGGGTTCAAAATGGAAATACAAGGTTATCTTTATGCGGTTGAATACTTATTCGTCATCTTTTCATTTCACTAGCTAACAACCAATCAACACTTCGTGTGGTTTTGCGCCATTCGCCATCTTTTCATTTCACTAGCTAACAACCAATCAAAACATCGCGTGCGTATGCGCCAATAAGGTATCCATCACAGAGAACAAAACCACAGATAACATAATGTAAAACGAAAGATCTTGCCGGAAACATGACGTTGACGTTTAGCGAAAATATTGTTTTTTGATACTTTTTTATGATAAAATCGTATATCGTGTGTATGTGTTATTTCTTTAAACTTGAAATTGGCCGATTGCGAGACAAATTTGGCCATTTTTTTTATTAATTTGTTTTACGGCTCTGGATAGAAGTCCTGTTTAGCCCAACTTAAAGTTTTACAATATAAATTACAAAAATTAAAGTCAATGTCCAATGTCAAATAATAATAAATGTCAAATGTTGTTTCTCTGTTCTGACGAACTTATTAAAAAAAAACTTAATGGCAATCACAATTTCTTCACATTCTATTATTTACATTTTTTAAAGAATGTTGTGGTGTGGCACTATCCTAAATTAAATTATTTACCCATTTTTGTAGGTTATACAGAAATAATGTGTGGGTGTTTATTTAAAAAGCATTAACACAAAATTAATAAAGTATAGGTATTAATAAATATATGGTTGTTGTATCAAAATAGAATTTTCTTATTTTTCACAAAAAAAAACTAACTGTCTTTTTTATAAAATAAATGACCTTTTCATTGTGCCATATATTATGGAACTATTTAAATTATTTAGCTGATTGTAAGAAACAAAATGTTGGTTTGTAGATTAATACTGTAAAATTACTATTTGTACGGAATCGATAAAAATATATTTTTGTGCTGCGACAAAAACTAATATTATAAATGCGAAAGTAACTCTGTCTGTCTGTCTCGCTTTCACGCCAAAACTACTGAACCGATTTGAATGAAATTTGGTATACAGATAGTCTAGACCCTGAGAACGGACATAGGCTACTTTTTAATGCGAAAAAAGGGTTGTAAGGGGTTAAAAGGGGGATGAAAGATTGTATGGAAGAATCGTCATTTTTGAAGCTAGAAGCTTGAAACTTATTTTTGAGGCTGTTGATTAAATATAAATAAAAATGACATTCAATGTTTGTAAAAAATTACCCTTAAGGGGGTAAAATAAAATAGGGGATGCAAATTTTTATGTAAATTCGACATTTTTGAAGCTAGAAGCTTGAAACTTATTGTTGAGACTGTTGATTAAATATAAATACATATGACATTCATTGTTTGTAAAAAAATACCCTTAAGGGGGTAAAATAAAATAGGGGATGCAAATTTTTATGTAAATTCGACATTTTTGAAGCTAGAAGCTTGAAACTTATTGTTGAGACTGTTGATTAAATATAAATACATATGACATTCATTGTTTCTAAAAAAATACTCTTAAGGGGGTAAAATAAAATAGGGGATGCAAGTTTTTATGTAAACACGTCATTTTTAAAGCTAGAAGCTTGAAACTTATTGTTGAGACTGTTGATTAAATATAAATAAAAATGACATTCAATGTTTGTAAAAAATTACCCTTAAGGGGGTAAAATAAAATAGGGGATGCAAGTTTTTATGTAAAATCGTCATTTTTGAAGCTAGAAGCTTGAAACTAATTTTTGAGGCTGTGGATTAAATATAAATAAATATGACATTCATTGTTTGTAAAAAAATTACCCTTAAGGGGGTAAAATAAAATAGGGGATGATAGTTATTATGTAAATTCGTAATTTTTGAAACTAGAACGATGAAACTATTTTCATTGGTTCTTTTGGGGTAGATTTTTAAATACCCCACTAATGTTATAACTGTGAAAGTAACTCTGTTTGTCTTTCTGTCAGTCTTACGCTCCAAAACAAAATAAAAATTTAAATGAAATTTGGTACACAGTTAGTTTACACCCGGACAAAGAATATAGGGTACTTTTGAATGTGAAAAAAGGATTGTAAGGGGGTTGCAACGGTACGCTGTATGGAAGAATCGTCATTTTTTAAAACTAGAAGTTTGAGACTCATTTTTAGACATTCAATGTTTGTAAAATTTTTACTCTTAGGGGGAGGGGGGTAGTAAAATAAAATAGGGAATGAAAGTTATTGTGGAAATTTGCTGTTTGTGTGGTTGTGGAAGCTAGAACGATTAAACTTTTTTCTTTGTCTTTTTAGAGTTAGTTTATTAAATACCCTACTGATATTATACATGTGAAAGTAACTTAGTTTGTCTGTTTGTCTCGCTTACACGCCAAAAATATTGAACCGATTTAAATTGAAATTTGAAACAGACATAGATAGACTAGATCCTGAGAAAGGACATAGGTTACTTTTTAATGTGAAAAAGGGTTGCAAGAGGATTGAAAGGGTAGATCCAAGGTCATATAGATGTATCGTCATGTTTAAAGCTAGAAGCTTGAAATTTATTTTTTAGTCTATTGATTAAATATTTATTTTTATTTTTTATCATTTTTTAAGCTAAAATGATGAAACTTATTTATTTGACTTATATTGTGTTAATTGAGTTAAATATTTTTTCATTATTTACGCGGACGAAGTCGCGGGTACAGCTAGTATTTTATATATTTACATAATAGAATATATTTAAGGTTTGGACTATGCTTATAAATGGTAATTAGCAAGAACATGAAGAGTTTTAACAGAAGTGAATAACCTACTTATCTGTCCATTTCAAAATAAACAAACTAAACTTTACAAAATAAAAAAAAAATATTTTTGCGCTTGCACTGTAACATGCTAAATATATGAGTAATTTAGTCCATAAGATTTTAGAATAAATGTGTTGCGTTAACTTTTTGTAGGTACTGGCAAGTCACAGCTGCTTCGTACGAGTGCGGAGCTGATGGCACGGTCGGTGTTCACATCCGGTGCTGGCAGCACTCGCGCAGGTCTCACCTGTGCTGCCCTCAGGGTAAATAATTGTGTTACTTATACAAAAAGTCCTGGTAGACTGTTAAAAATGGGCCTTTAATAATGGATACCTTAGTTTTACCTACATATTTCTACCACCAAGCAGCTTGTTGTTTAGGTGTTTCTTTTAAAGGGTGAGCTAGTGATAAGCCAGTGAAATTACAGTATTAGAGGCAGGACATGTCAGTACTTCAGAATGGCAACGCATGAGTGATATCATGGGTGTCATATGAAACATGATATTATCATTTACCATCATATGGAATGTCTGGAGGGTACTACATAGAATACCAAAATTAATATATAATATAACTAGCTGTACCCGCGACTTCGTCCGCGTAAATAATGAAAAAATATTTAACTCAATTAACACAATATAAGTCAAATAAATAAGTTTCATCATTTTAGCTTAAAAAATGATAAAAAATAAAAATAAATATTTAATCAATAGACTAAAAAATAAATTTCAAGCTTCTAGCTTTAAACATGACGATACATCTATATGACCTTGGATCTACCCTTTCAATCCTCTTGCAACCCTTTTTCACATTAAAAAGTAACCTATGTCCTTTCTCAGGATCTAGTCTATCTATGTCTGTTTCAAAATTCAATTTAAATCGGTTCAATATTTTTGGCGTGTAAGCGAGACAAACAGACAAACTAAGTTACTTTCACATGTATAATATCAGTAGGGTATTTAATAAACTAACTCTAAAAAGACAAAGAAAAAAGTTTAATCGTTCTAGCTTCCACAACCACACAAACAGCAAATTTCCACAATAACTTTCATTCCCTATTTTATTTTACTACCCCCCCTCCCCCTAAGAGTAAAATTTTTACAAACATTGAATGTCTAAAAATTAGTCTCAAACTTCTAGTTTTAAAAAATGACGATTCTTCCATACAGCGTACCGTTGCAACCCCCTTACAATCCTTTTTTCACATTCAAAAGTACCCTATATTCTTTGTCCGGGTGTAAACTAACTGTGTACCAAATTTCATTTAAATTTTTATTTTGTTTTGGAGCGTAAGACTGACAGAAAGACAAACAGAGTTACTTTCACAGTTATAACATTAGTGGGGTATTTAAAAATCTACCCCAAAAGAACCAATGAAAATAGTTTCATCGTTCTAGTTTCAAAAATTACGAATTTACATAATAACTATCATCCCCTATTTTATTTTACCCCCTTAAGGGTAATTTTTTTACAAACAATGAATGTCATATTTATTTATATTTAATCCACAGCCTCAAAAATTAGTTTCAAGCTTCTAGCTTCAAAAATGACGATTTTACATAAAAACTTGCATCCCCTATTTTATTTTACCCCCTTAAGGGTAATTTTTTACAAACATTGAATGTCATTTTTATTTATATTTAATCAACAGTCTCAACAATAAGTTTCAAGCTTCTAGCTTTAAAAATGACGTGTTTACATAAAAACTTGCATCCCCTATTTTATTTTACCCCCTTAAGGGTATTTTTTTAGAAACAATGAATGTCATATGTATTTATATTTAATCAACAGTCTCAACAATAAGTTTCAAGCTTCTAGCTTCAAAAATGTCGAATTTACATAAAAATTTGCATCCCCTATTTTATTTTACCCCCTTAAGGGTATTTTTTTACAAACAATGAATGTCATATGTATTTATATTTAATCAACAGTCTCAACAATAAGTTTCAAGCTTCTAGCTTCAAAAATGTCGAATTTACATAAAAATTTGCATCCCCTATTTTTTTACCCCCTTAAGGGTAATTTTTTACAAACATTGAATGTCATTTTTATTTATATTTAATCAACAGCCTCAAAAATAAGTTTCAAGCTTCTAGCTTCAAAAATGACGATTCTTCCATACAATCTTTCATCCCCCCTTTTAACCCCTTACAACCCTTTTTTCGCATTAAAAAGTAGCCTATGTCCGTTCTCAGGGTCTAGACTATCTGTATACCAAATTTCATTCAAATCGGTTCAGTAGTTTTGGCGTGAAAGCGAGACAGACAGACAGAGTTACTTTCGCATTTATAATATTAGTTTTTGTCGCAGCACAAAAATATATTTTTATCGATTCCGTACAAATAGTAATTTTACAGTATTAATCTACAAACCAACATTTTGTTTCTTACAATCAGCTAAATAATTTAAATAGTTCCATAATATATGGCACAATGAAAAGGTCATTTATTTTATAAAAAAGACAGTTAGTTTTTTTTTTGTGAAAAATAAGAAAATTCTATTTTGATACAACAACCATATATTTATTAATACCTATACTTTATTAATTTTGTGTTAATGCTTTTTAAATAAACACCCACACATTATTTCTGTATAACCTACAAAAATGGGTAAATAATTTAATTTAGGATAGTGCCACACCACAACATTCTTTAAAAAATGTAAATAATAGAATGTGAAGAAATTGTGATTGCCATTAAGTTTTTTTTTAATAAGTTCGTCAGAACAGAGAAACAACATTTGACATTTATTATTATTTGACATTGGACATTGACTTTAATTTTTGTAATTTATATTGTAAAACTTTAAGTTGGGCTAAACAGGACTTCTATCCAGAGCCGTAAAACAAATTAATAAAAAAAATGGCCAAATTTGTCTCGCAATCGGCCAATTTCAAGTTTAAAGAAATAACACATACACACGATATACGATTTTATCATAAAAAAGTATCAAAAAACAATATTTTCGCTAAACGTCAACGTCATGTTTCCGGCAAGATCTTTCGTTTTACATTATGTTATCTGTGGTTTTGTTCTCTGTGATGGATACCTTATTGGCGCATACGCACGCGATGTTTTGATTGGTTGTTAGCTAGTGAAATGAAAAGATGGCGAATGGCGCAAAACCACACGAAGTGTTGATTGGTTGTTAGCTAGTGAAATGAAAAGATGACGAATAAGTATTCAACCGCATAAAGATAACCTTGTATTTCCATTTTGAACCCTTTACAACCCTTTTTACGCATTAAAAAGTAGCCTATGTCCTTCCTCGGCGTCTAGACTATCTGCGTACTAAATTCCATTTAAATCGGTTCAGTAGTTTTGGCGTCAAAGCGAGACAGACAGACAGACAGACAGAGTTACTTTCGCATTTATAATATTAGTAAGGATAAGGATTACCTAAATTAGACCGATTGTGATTAGACCCAACACCTATTTAGTGCAAAGACCAACTGACCACTGCACTAAGGAGATAACTCTGTAGTTGACCTGGAGTAGAAGTAGTCAGGGCAACTAGCGATTTCTTAGGCGCCGGGGAAGTGTCACGGTCGATTATCTTGGACTAAAAGTAGCTGGGTAACTACAGAGCAATCTCAGCAGTTGATCCATTAACTACACTAACGAGATCACTTTATTGTTATTCTGGAGTGGGGGAAGGGATTTTTAGTAATGGAACCCCCATTATCAAAGATCTAATTGTTAGTAATGTGGGATAGTGATCCCATTGCTAGCAATGTACTATATCAGATCGACCTCGAAGTGGTTCTTCCTGGAAACCATCGTGATAAATTCCCGGTGAATTTGTCACATTGGGCTAACTGATCTGACTTCATGTTCATCCTATCATCCTCCACTGGAGCCCCGCCAGTGTAAATCGTTAGCGCAAGCGGGTGCAACATTCCATTATCATCCTTTAAAAAAAATCCTAACAATATACCATATCGGGACGAACTTCACGCGGTTCTCGCTGGAAATGTCGTGATTCGCTACGATGAATTAACTGACCTAGCTTTATTCTCATTATGACATCCTCCACTAGTGTCCTGCCAGCGTATACCGTTTACAAGGGTAGCACCACAATATCCCTACCGCCACTAATGATAGTAGGGTGACAGAATACTAGATTGACTGTTTTGTTACTCTAATATTAGGAAGATGGCGAGTGGCAGTTGGAAGCTGGTGCATTGGTGTTGTCTGACGGCGGCGTTTGCTGTATTGACGAGATATCTCAGCTTCGGGAACATGATCGTACCGCTATACACGAGGCCATGGAACAACAGACTATATCAATCGCGAAGGTAAGATAGTATAAACGGTATAATACATAATAAATAAATAGTATAACAAAATTAATCTCAATAGAAATGTTTTCAACACCCTACGTGTTGAAAACATTTCTATTGAGATTAATCCAGCGCATGTAAAAATCAGATATCAATTTGAAACTAAAATACCTACTTAGTAATTTGAACATATCAATTTTTGAATTATCATAAATAAAAAAAATTGTAAAATGTTTGATATCGATGCAGTAGCTGCAAACATAAGATAAAGTTATCCATATTTTTCCTTTTGTAACATGTTGTACATAAAAGATCTCAAGTACCTATGTATAATTTTTGTAATAAGTTTGAGTCTTAATGTCAAATGCTAACTTATAATAATATCATTACGTAGACATGTAATTCCGGAATATACATGTAGTTGCTTTGTTTCTTTTTCAGGCTGGTATAGTGTGTAAGCTGAATACGCGATGCGCTGTCATAGCTGCTTGCAATCCAAAAGGCCATTATCAAACTGACCAACCACTCAGTGCCAACGTGTCTTTAGGAACTCCTCTACTAAGTAGGTAAGGAGAATTATGTATTTTAGGTATCATTATTTTAAGGGAGTTTATTGGTTAAACCAAGACAAACGAATAATTGTAAAATGTACTAATTGTCTTTTTCTTTTAGGTTCGATTTAATATTTATATTATTGGATTCTAAAAACAAATCATGGGACAAGTTGGTGTCGTCATATATATTATTTGGTGGTTCTAGTGCGCTAGATAAAAAACGATGGAATATAGAAAAGTTGCAGGTATTAACAATTTCTTTAAAACATATTGTTTAATTTATTATGTTTATAGGTAATGTAATGCATACAAAATCGTTTACTTTATAACCTTATTTATATGGCTTTGTTTTGTTCCGATTATTTGCCGCGAATAACTTTTTCGATATGACCTGTAAACTCATTCGATCTTATTACAAATAGTTATATGTAGGTACCTACATATAATCGTGTATCAAATGACATTAATTTATATTTATTACGAGTACTAGTTATTATTATTGTTATTCCCTCAGGATAGCTATTTTAAAACCACTGCAATAAACGATTCCTCGCCGGATCTTTCGGATTAATATCGTGTTTTCTCTTAAAGATAAACTGTGTTAAACTCCCAACCCAATTTTCATTTAATTTGTGGCAATACAATAGTAACGGGTTTACTCAATTGACGCAAACGTATAAATTGAGCCAACTCGAGATTAATTTGTTTATTCGTCAGGCGGGAGTTGGCTTCCAGCCGCTCCATAAGTCCTTCCGCGGGTTTGGTGTGCCATCTGCACTCGTCCGGTGAAGCTGTAAAGGCCAGCTGCGGCCAACAGCATTAGAGTCCGAAAAAAAATAATTTGTCGGCCCTATTGGCTGAACTGGCAACCTTAGTTGTCAATTTGTATCGGTAGTAAACAATCTTAGGGACATTGTGTTAATAATATTGACGTGTTATAATTTTCAGATGTATATAAGTTTAGTGGGGCCAAAATACGCAGAAATGACAAAATCAGCTAATATTATACTTCAGTCGTATTACATGCTGCAACGAAAATCAGAATACAGGGATCCATCTCGTACAACTGTTAGAATGCTTGATAGTCTTGTCAGGTATTAATTTTTAATTAGTTTTTATTCTTAACCTCGTCAGTGCTCTAGTGTGGATATGAACCACAAATACATTTAACTCAGATAAAATCAGAATAATGATTACTTTTATGCATATTACTAATTAATGTTATCAATATTTTATATGTGATTGTTTCCAGATTATCTCAAGCTCATTGTCGTCTCATGTTTCGTTCAACTATACTGCCTATGGACGCAATCACGGCTGTATCGCTCGTCGACTTGTCTATGCAGGACTGCACTTTGAATGACACAGTAGATGCATTGCATACAACAATACCGAAGTATTCGGATTATGAATATCTGTGCATAGCAAAGAAGCTCCTTACTAGGCTTAACTTACTAGATATATGGAGAAATGAATTGTTATATTATGGAAATTTGCTACAAGTAGACCACAAAACCTTAGAACAAGATATAACAAATGGCAATTGTCAATTATTTGCTAGATATGATGATGTTACCGATGAAACAATACCTATTTCAGCATCTCTCGTTACAAGCTCATATTTTAATAAAGATAATAGAAAACAAGTTTCTGAAAATAATGATAGAGAAAATGAATGTAATAACTTTCAAAATAGGGATTGTAATGAAAAATTAGCGGCTACATTAAAAAAGCATGCAACAATGAATAAAATTGAAAAAAAGCCACCAATAGTACAAAAGAAAAAACGCAAACGAAAGGAAGTAACATTAAATGTCAGTTTAAAAAATAATAAATCAAAAAGAATAAAAAGTAGTAAACTGTTTAGTGAATCTGAAAATATTTCGGATAGTGAGAAAGAAGATACAAGTATTTTATTGAATGCAGTTCCAAGTGTGAATGATGTATTTAAAGATCTGGAAATTGATTTGAAATTTGAAGTTAATGATTGTGAAGAAACCGATGATAATATTATTTCGTGTAAAAATCAATCAAAGAAGTTAATGTATGAAAAAGACAATGGCAATATAGAAATAAACGAAAATAACGAGAATAATTCCGAGTCTGAAAGAGTTGATGATAGCATAAATAATAAATCAAGGTTAAAAGAAAACATTGATTCTGAAAACTTACCTAAACTAAATAAGTTTGATAAACAGACTTCTGCAGAGTCTAATATAAACAAAGCCTCAAGTATTTCGAACAAGTTAAAACAATTTCAGTTTACTGAGAAACATGACATTAACAAATATTATAAAGAGAACACTGAACCTAAGGTAAAGGTAGAAAAAATTGATGAAAGTATCTCAAATTTATCATCAGGACAGAAGATTTTAAATTCACAAATATCTATGTTTGAGAGTTCTGATTGTGATGTTGATTTAGACATTTAGGTGTCAATGGTTAATCATGTATTTAAAGTGATATATATTATTATTAAAATAAATAAATGAAACATTTATATTTTTTATTTAATATTGTAGGTACATAAAGCTATTTACAATTTACATTCATTACTAATTTAACTAAATATTTTAAGAGTCTGTGTCTGTAGAAGAACTAGCTTTGTATGGATCCAGTTCATAGTTTTCAATAAGTAAATTTTTGAACCTCCTGGCAGTAATAACAATACTCTCCTCTTTAGCTGCTACATTGAGTATTTCTACACGGGATACATATAAATGGTCAGGGTTGTTTGGACTAACCATTTTTATAACATCAATTTCATCACCTATTCTGACCTGTGAAGAAACATGATTTTTATCTTTAGTAAGTATATGGTTTATCAACTATAATTACAATGTAATAATGAATTATATTTAGGATATGAGGGTACTGCCTAAGGTTTAAAATTACTTTATAACCTATTAAGATAAATTCTATATATATATAAATGCGAAAGTTTGTATGTATGGATGTTTGTTACTCTTTCACGCAAAAACTTCTGAATGGATTTTGATAACCCTTTACAGATTACTGTAAATACAGCTTATACATCAGAATAACATTTAAGCTATAACTTTCACGTGTTAATACTGAATTGTTATACTTACAGAAGCACTTTTCTTGAGTATCTTCTTGCCATTTATCCTAATTTTGCTTTCATAGAATACTTGTTCTATTTTACTGAAATTTTAATATATTTACATTACCTTTGTAATTCCAGAGTAAGAAATAATTATAATTTAAGAGTAAGTTAAGTGCACAGAAATAACCAGAATTAGAATACACAGAGCTTGTAAAACATATAAATTAGTTTTGACTTACTTTCTTGCAACTCCTAAAGCACTTTTAAGTATAGCATCTGTTCGGAGAGATGTGGTAGAGAATTTTACGACTTTTGAATCTTTCTTAAGTGATGAATCATCATTATAATCATCATCTTCATCATCTGAATCGTGTTGACTTTGCTGTAATAAGATAATATTGCAAAAAATATTACCAAGGAATTAACTAGATCACTAACAAACTCATGTTTATTAAATATATCTATTCCTGGAGATAATATTATTAAACACCTGTATGTAATAGCTGAGCCTGCGTAAATTTAGACAAAAACTTATATAATTATAATAAAAATAAAGTATCCCTAAAACAAAACTTCTTATAAATTGTAACAAACCACCTTGATAACATCAGTTTCAAACGAATGAAACAGCACCATAATCGGTGTACAACTATTGTGCTTGATATTATATTGCTAATAGTTGCTTAAATATGAATTTGTTATTATAGAATGTAAATAACAAAAAATAAGTAGTAATATCTATCAGTGTGTAATATCTGGTTATTTTGTACTAGTTTTGCTTAGCTTACTAGTCAGACTTTATAGCTATTAATATATATTTTGTATTACTAAAAGCATGCATAAATACCTTTTTAGACTTATATCGAACAATTAAATTGTATACATTATTGTTTAACGGATTTGAGGTTATGTTTATATTTTTATTTAATTGGTGTAAAGATTGATTTGTTATAATTTGTAACTTTGCTCTACGGCAAACAAAAACAGGAGTTATAACGCGTCTCCATAGGTAATTCATTATTGTTTTACAATAAACATTAAATATAATAATTATAATGAATAAAAGTTAACACATAAAAATAAAATTAGGTAACAGTCTGTGCCTAATGTCATTTCCTGCAGATTTTTTGACATATCTGTCAATCCAACTGTCAATTGTGCAAATTGACCAACTAAAATTATGAATGATTAGAACGGCATTGGTATTTGTTGAATAACAGTGGAGGATGATTCGATAGATTCGATGCAATTATATATATAGGTCAGACAAATACGCTAACGATGTACCATGTCAGGTTGAACATGCGATTCCCACTAGAAACTATCGTGATAAATTCCTCCCTCGTTTTTAATTTCTCTTGATGTACCCCATCATGAGAAATTATACACTAGTCCCGTCAGCGTATACTGTCGGCACAGGCGAGGGCATGATTCCATACCGATCCAATGAAATAAAAAACCCTGCATTTGTTTTTCTTATACATACATACCTACCTATATAATACACCAAGTACGTCAAATTGGCGGGCCTTTAAATTGCTCACTTGAGTTAGCTATTTATAACTATTTTTTTAAAATACTTTAATTAACTTTTTTGATTTTATATATTTTTTATATTATATAGTGATAGTACATCACTTACAGTACTTACGCAAGTACCTATTAATCTAAGTATATTTATGCCCAAGTCTATATCTAAATACTTTGCTATGTCGAATATTGAATGCTATAGGGAATATGTAGGTAATTCAGAATATTGACACCGGGGTACACTCCGCTGTCGGGGCCGTGGGAGCTTCTCAAGTGTGCATTGCATCGATATTATCTGCTGCGGCGACGAACGGGCGCTCAAGTGTAAACACCTCGAAATCTTAACGACATCGATAACACGTAAATTCTAATATCGATAGATACATTTTCAACTGACTTCGTAAGTAAGACGGTGTCCAATTAATTAGTTTTTATTTTTTTAACCATTACTTAATAAAAAAAACAAGTGAAATTTTTAATACAATGGAAATTTACGTTTCCTTTTTTTATATGTCAACATATTACTATCTATATATTGGAATAGCAAAGAAATTGACGGCTCACTAGCGCAATAGATTAGCTTAAATTATCATTACTGTGTATTCTACAATATGTCTTATTTACGATACGATTAAGATTTAAGTTTTTACTATTCCTTAACAAAATCTGTAAATGCGTGAAACTAAAATTATTCATATCACACTGTGTAACTACTGACTTATTTTCGCATAACTACTGAAAGGCGTCTTAAGTATAGTCTCTCTTTAGTAGACTGTTATTGTTGGACCCCTGCTATAGGGGAAATGGTACTTTTAATTTATTTTATTGAGTATCAAGTGCTCTAACTGTTTTGGTTGTATAAATATAACAACTTTCGCTTTCAAGGCAATAATTAAAAGGAACGAAGTCGCCCACGGTATATCAGATTATCCACGGTTGCTCTAACCAACATGTGGACACATGTCTCCCATTCGAAATGATCCTTTTTATTTTCGTATTACGATTATGTTTACGGCGAGTTCAAAGGCTTTTTTAATTTGACACAGTTTATGGCTTTGTCTCGCCGTTTTGATGGTGCTGTGGTGGGTGGAATATACGTGTCACAAGTGGACTGAATTAATTTAATGATAAAGTGGGAAGTAAAAGGATGAATTCCAACAGGCTATCTTTGTATGTTTCTATTATGTGGTCTACACAAATGTTTTAGAAAAATATGGTTATTTGTGCAGATGTGGTATTATGGGTAGTATGGTATAAACATCTCTAATTTTTTATGATACTACTTACAGGTTCATAAAAAAATAGAGGTAGAAAAATGTTATAGGATGTAAAAGTAAATATTTTTTTATTAATCATTAGTAGATATATAGTTAATATGGTATGAGCCTATTCTATTTTCAATTTACCTCTACTCTACACGACCAGTAGAATACATATACGGGTAATATCTACTATTAAACCAATTTGCATTTTGAAGCTTTGTAGTAGGATGCAAATTGATTTTATTTTACATAGCTATATAACATTTTGCATTGAGAGATAATTATAACTTACCTACATATATTTTTTATATCAATAAAATGTTTACGTAAAATTACGTAAAATGTATACGTCCTGCTTGGAAGATATAATCTGATCACAAATAGGCATTAACATCACCGTCAATATCCAACTATAAGAATTAGAACTATTTTTGTCATATAGTAAAATTTAATCAAATTGGAAAGCACTATAAAATGTAAGTAGGTACTGAAACTGAAGAGTTTAAAACCAAAGTAAAGTCAAACAATTGTGGTTGTTCGTGCCAAATGGTATTTCGGATATGACTTTTATTGTGATATCCTAGAATACAGTGCCTAGTACAGGGTCTAATGTACCAATAAGACTTCTTTATTATAATAGCATTCCTGAACAATAGTTTACGATGCATTATAACATCGCTGCCGTCGGCGGATGTTATGAATACATCGGTACTCGGGTTTCGGTGTTATAATGTTAACATACAAATATAAACATGAGTCTTGCCCACAACCGGCTATCAATAAATCACATCTCAAGCGATATTAAATTCTATACTAAGTACCATGCAGGTATTTGTTCGAAAACAATGTTAAATTTTTCTTTAAATATGGAAAATCTATGGCTTACTTTCCAAACAAAATGACTAAACATACTCATACAAGTATTTATGCCTAGAAATATAAATTTGTAATAAAAAATAAAGCAAATCTGTTGTAAGACAAAGTCGTATTTCAGAAATCTCTACAAGAAAGAATTAAAATAAAAAACACAATTCTCAAAGAAGTTCTCTGAACGGATAAATTAAAATTTGATATAGGTAGGTAATTGGACTGTATATGTATATATATATATCTTTACCCTATTAAAAATATGTATAAAGAGGTCGCTCTATTTCATTATTTTCCATAACAAATATTATTTAACTAAAGTCGGCACGCAACACTGACAACATTGTTTACATATCAGTAGTGGTATTTGTCCGTTTATAAATCTCGATACACATAAATCTCGTAACATGTAATCCTTAGATTGAATCTCGTGTAGCCGGCAGCACGATATACCGAACTAACGGGAGCGAGAAATTAGATTTCTCATTTGACGCTCGAGGTGGTATCATTTATCATACAGTGACACTTCATCATGTTACACGTCCGAAGCCTTTGTGCAGCTACTGGACTGTGAAAGTGACATAGGAAGTCACGGGCTAACGTTTGGAAAATTATACCCGTAATTAGGTTTATGTCAAATAGGATAAACGTCTTTCAAATATTTTGGATTGTGATGCAATGTAAGCTACATTTACTTTAGTTCAGTTTTTTGTATTAGTTAATCGATCGATTGTCATGTAACTATGGATAGATATATAATAGAATTTATACTGTTTATTACATCGAACATGATGAAGCATATAAGTTTATTTTTTTAGTATTGTGGACTGACCTTGTTGGTAAAAGCTTAATAGATTAATTATTTTTTACGATAATTCCTCGTCATAATAAGCTGAGTCTGACTTTATCATCGTCTTTTATCATAGAGTAGGTAAGTGGGAATATCATCAGAAATAAAAATAATCTTTATACAAATGAACTTAATATAAGCACTTTTGAATAGTCATATAATATAATTTTTGAGTCGATTATCGTTTATAAAAAGTACAACATCAACAACCGCCTATTAGAGCACGTTCAGTAGTCAATATTAGACATAACTGCATGCTGTGTTTATTTAGAATTAATAGCTTAATTAGCAATGAACAGTTTACTTCAATTTAACTTTTATAGACAATAATCTTTTCAATTCCAGAAAAAAATAATAAAATTAATGACAATATTAAACTAACAGAGCTATTAATAATCCCAAATTAGTTTTTATTTTATAACTCTGGGACGAAGACGAGTGTCTTAATATTTTTTGTGTACAGCGTGGTTTACGAGTGGCCCACATGGGCCACAGTTATTGACTCATTCAGGGTTGTTAAAAATAGTACAGAATATATTATGTAAGATATAACCAAGTACTAAGTATATGTGTATGTATGTATAAGGAAACCAAATTCAAATTATAGTTTTCTCCAAAGAAAAAATAATTAATTACAAAATATTATGAGAAAAGTTTTTACAATACGTATATATTTTTATTTTTAGAAGAAGTGTCATGTCGGAATACCCACTTAATATTGTGTACCCGTACAAAATTTTAATAGTCATTTATTAATTTGTTTTTTTTATTCCTTATCTCCGTCTAGCAATCGGACCATCAATCATGTAATAAAAAATAGTTTTCTAGGTTCCGGGTAGGTTTTTCTTAATGGATAACAGTGGAACGGGCTAACGGCATACGCTGGTGGGGCACCAGTGGAGGATAATATGATCAGTAAGCTGGGACTTGATGAGTCAGTGGTTCGGGGCTTCTCTTATTATATATAACATTATGCTATTAAGTATATAATCATTATATATAGTGTATTTTAATTGGTTTCAAAGGATGAGATTATTATTTTCGAATGTAATTTCTTTTGGACATGTATTATAATTAAACATGACACAGCATTGTGAATAAATATTATAATATTGTAAAGTTATGTAAACCATCGGGATAGATCTCATCCCTAGCCAGTATACTAATATACTACATGAACATTTTACGAGTAATTTCACGGTTATTCATTCTCTCTTAGCAGGGGGCAGTGAGGGCGCTACCTTGGAGTTAATAGTTGTGGCGTTATTGTGTAGTTTATAACATAATTTGCAAATTGTTTTTTTTATTAACTTATATTAAAAAGTTTAGTTACTAAAGTTAGGTTTCTTAAATTAAAAATGATTGAATATTTTCAGCACAGACGTGACAATTAATTAAATAAATACATAAATATGAGCAATAAAATAAGAAGTTTTCATTGATTTAAGTTAGAATATTTAGGTACGCATTTAATTCCCATGATTCATCTTTATACGAGTATGTCACTATATATTGCTTATTAGTTATATTACTAAAAAATAACTACTATTGGCTTTTTTAAAAAGTTTTAGTAATTTAACA